TCCACAACACCGCATCGGTGACCTTCTGTCTTCACATCGGCTAGTCTTCGATTTTGCCAATGACTTTAAGTATGTACCAAGACACCAACTTACAAAGAACCAATAACTACTAAGTGTTGCTAAGGTAGAGGAACAGATCAGTGGGTCATCACCAAATCAATAGGTGACCCAACAGTTTTATATTTGGGTCTATCGATGTTATAATGCGACTTTGTGTGGTTTTGAGAAAAAAAAATGTTTTTATTTTTGAATGAAATACAAATTTGAAGATATTATAAAATTTTGAAAAAAATAAGCAATATTAGTACCAAATTAACTATTTAAAAGTTCTTGTTTTTGTGTAATTTTTTTAATTCAATTTTTTTATTATAATTTAATTGAAGTTTAAAAAGGAACTAATTTATTTTTGGGTTAATAAAGTAATTTATTTAAGATAATAATTAAGTATTCTATTAGAACTCAATGATTATCTTAATTATGTTTTGGAATTTTTATATTTAAAATGAGATGTTTATTCTCTATTTGATTATGTTTATCCGCAGTTAGTTACACGAATTCAAAGATGGAGTTTTAATAAGTTGTACTTATGCATAATTTACTTGTAATCTTGAATTTTAAGGAATATGTATCAATATACAATATTTTATGTATAAAAAATAATTTTTAAGAGTTTTTGTTAAATACTTTATAATATAGTATAGATAAGAAATATTTGAGATTATAATTGAATTGCGGTAATCTTAGAAGAAAATGAGATAAACCCAAATGAATTTCAATCAAGATTTCTTTTTTCTTTTTGTTTCTTTCTTCATATATTTAATTCAATTCAATTCTCCCATTTTTGGTACATTCTGGTTCACACAAATCCTGTAACTCGTTCATGAAAAGTTTCTGCAGAGTCCCTCACCCAACTCGGGTCTCTTCTTAAAATCCCCCAAAACGATAAACACAGATTTCTTTCATGGCGTCTAATCTGCCCACCTCTTCATAAAACACACACTCCATAGATTTATTGTATAAATTTGCGTTGTAATCGACTCTGATTTTATATATATATTGAGTTAAATCGATTCTTTGTCTGTGTGTGTTCAATGGCAGCTTTTGTTCGATTGTTATCGTTCGATTCATCCTCGTTATGTACGTCATTGAATTCTCATCACCAAAACCAGTTACTATCCAAGAACAATAGCAAGAGGGTACTATCTGTCGCAGCTGATTCTTGTTTATCTTCTGATTTTATCGTCAATTCGCGATTTTCCATGAACCCTAGAAAGGAATCGCTCCAATTCAAGGTAAAAGTTTCGTTTTGTTTCAGCAATTTAGGTTTAATTTATGAGAAATTCTAAACCCGTTTGATGATATCTTGGAAAATTGAATGGGTATGGGGTTAGTTCATTTACTAGTAAAATTTATCGAGAATTTAAAAGGGGATTTCATGAATTTAGGTTGTGAATTAGAAAATATGTTGTATTTGGCTTCGATTTGAGTGAATTTATGCTCAAATGTGCGAATTGTTCATCTGGCCAATTGGGATTTTAGGGTTTTGATTTGATGATAATCTTCCAGAATCATCTATCACATTGGCTATATTTCTTGTTCTCTAATTAGTGCTATGAGTGTGAAATTAGGTTGCATTTAGTATTGATTGTGAGTGTAATTATGCACAAATTTATGGATTTAGGGTGGTGCCTGATTGGTTTGAGCTTGGCTCCAAAGGTCAAAAGTGCCAGGAGGTCCCAGGTTCAAATCCAAGGAGGAACAAAAATCTCCTTGTGGCCACGGAGGTTCAAATGCGGTGAGTCCGGGCTACCTGCAAAGCATGTGGTTGCCCTGGGATTAGTCGGCTCGCAAAGCGGGTTGGATATCCAGGTTAATCAAAAAAAAAAAAAAGCCTTTGTTTACCAAATTGTAGTTTAGGTTTTCATTCAATTTGAATCATAGTTATTGCTACATTTGCATATTGAGTAATAAGTAGATAAGCAATATATGGAATTCTTGGTGGATAAGTTTATTGGAAAACCATGAGTCCCTTTTACATGCTAGTCAAATTATTCAGATTATTCACTTAATTCCACGGTTTGAATGATGGTTTCCGATGAACTTAGTGTTCAAACTCATTGTGATGTATATAACTTAGTGTTCGAGAGCGTTTACCGGCTCCTATGTTGTTTAATTTTCTTGTGCAAAAAGGGTTTGTAACGAGCAACCCCGGTGGCTTACACCGCCTTTCCCACAAGAGCATCATGTGAGAGGCAAATCAGGTGCACAACGGCCTGCTAGATAGCTGGCTTAAGAGCTTGGTCCCCACTAGCAACTTGACCTTCAAAGGAATTATAAATTTATAACTCCCACATTGTGTTGGTCCCTTACTAGTTTGTGCAAGTGTACCAACGACGATAGCGCCCTGAGGGTTGTTTAACTTTCTTATGTTTTCCATATCTAGCTTGCCTTGGTAGTTTAGGATATAAAGATAGTTACTGTTACTCAATGTCATAACTTGAATTCGTTGTTTAATTTAATTGGAAAAGTAGAAAGCATGTATATATATATATATATAGAGAGAGAGAGAGAGAGAGAGTCAGGTTCATATGATAACCGTAACAAAATAAGAGAATATGAAAACAATTGAATCACATGTGATTTTACACGTGATGAAAGTTGCATGAATCACCTTTGTGTTGACTGTTAGTTTAAAATCACATGATTTGGCCATTTTCGTGTTCTTTTATTTGGTTACCATTCTCGTTTGAACCTCCCCCCCCCCTCTCTCTATATATACACAAGTGTGGGGTCAAACGAGAAAACACTCATTTTACGAAAACATGAGAACACCTTTATTACATGTGATAATACACGTGAGTGGACTTGCTGGTGTGTGGGTGACTTGGCTTGCAACCTAGGTCGTGCCAAAGGTAGCTCGCATATCTGATTTAGTATCACATGTGATTAACCATAGTAAAAGGGTGTTCTTGCATTTTCGTAAAATGAAAGTGTTCTCGTTTGAATCCATCCCCATATATACATATATTATATATAAGTATGTTTGTAGTTCCGTTGTAATTCTTTGGGGTAACATATGAAAGAACATCCACATGTTAGAGGCCAACATCTCTTACGCCCTCGTGCTTCAGTCCTTATTCTTTTGTTTTTGTTATAGAAACGATCTCAGGAGCCAACATATTTTCAAGATTTGTGAAATAATTATGAGAAATGTGAATAACAACATTCATGCAAATTCTGCTTCCTTACTTGTATGCTTGTTCCGATGCTTCTTTCAGATACACGCAACAATTACTGAAACCGAACAACCAAAATGGTGGGAGAAAAACGGAGGACCAAATATGGTTGACATTCATTCGACACAAGAGTTCTTGAATGCCTTAAGTGAGGCTGGAGATAAATTAGTTATCGTTGAATTCTATGGGACATGGTGTGCTTCTTGCCGTGCTTTATTTCCAAAGGTCAATTTCTTATTTACTTGACGTTGGTTTGATTTTGCTTTTTAACGGTCTAATATCTCATAATCAATAGTGTTCGTATGATCCAATATTCGGCATCCAAAAGTCGAACGTTGCTTATATCCGAGTATTGAAAAAGATTCTCTTCAATCAATCCATATGATTTTACCCGTTGATTGATTAAGATCAAGCAATCATATGGCTCATTTTATTGATGTTATTGTTTTATTAATTATTGTCAGCTTTGCAAGACGGCTCAAGAACACCCGGAAATTGTGTTCTTGAAAGTCAACTTTGATGAGAACAAGCCGATGTGCAAGAACTTGAACGTGAAGGTCCTTCCTTATTTCCATTTCTATCGTGGAGCCGATGGACAACTCGAATCTTTTTCTTGTTCACTTGCTAAGGTAAACAACTTATTTGCTCCAATTATCTTCTTATTAGGGTCATAAACTAACGACCACTCTACTCTTTAGGGCAGAGGTCAGGTCTGCCTACATCTTATCCCCCCTAGACCCCACTTTCGTATGGGCAATACTGGGCTCGTTTGGTTTGGTTTGGTTTATATGGATCAGATATCCGGAAAACGGTCGTTCTACTCTTTTGGGTAGAGGTCTGGTCTACATACATCTTACCCCTGACCCCACATTCGGGTGGGATATACTATGCTCGTTGGGTTTTTATGGATCATATCACTGAAACAACTGCCTTACTCTTTAGGGTAGAGGTCAGGTATGTGTATCTGTTACCCTCCGGAGACCACCTCCAGGTGTATACTGGGCTCATTCTGGTTTGGTTTGGTTTGGTTTATTTGAATCAGATATGAGAGTATCCATTTACAAATTACAGCCACATGATCCATGGTAACGCGATCATGGAATCACATGACAATTTGCACGGTGCAAGCTACGACAGATTAAAAACCAAATCAAACAGACTCTGGGGCTTGTTTGTTAGTCGCTTAATGAGCTTAATGAGACTTAGCTTATTCAGTCAGCTATACATGACTGTTTGGTAGTGGCTTCATAATATAGATTCTGACTTATGGCCTGTTCGTTAGTAGCTTAATGAGACTTGCAGCTTATTCGATTAGCTATACATGATTGTTTCGTAGTGGCTTAATGATATAGAAAATGGCTTATTCAGCAAGCTTCCAGAGGAGCTTTATGCAGAAAGCCAAAGTATTTTTCAAACTTGTCCCTTCCAGTTAAAAAACAAGCTTCTTCATCTATGAAAAAAACCCTCTTAAGCAAAAACCTTCCTAATCTATCGACGCACAAACAACTTTATCCATACAGGACTTAATAGAAAACCAACCAAACAGCCCCTTATTCAATAAGCTTCTAGAGGAAAGCTTTATGTAAAAAGCAATGTTTTTCCCCCAAACCTGCCCCTCCCAATTAAAAAAACAATTCTTCCATCAATGAAAAAAATACTCCCAAACAAAATTCTTCCCAATTTATATAGACGGATTAATGCACACATTCAACTTTATTCATATAGGACTTAATGGAAAACGAACCAAACAACCCCCTTAGAATATCCCGCCACTACATTGAGAGCACCATATGTTCTTTTCTATATCTGCATATCAAAATGCAACATTGATTTAACATTTTACACGGCTAAGTTGTTTGTTTTTTTAAGAGGTGCTATTTGTTTTGCAGTTTCAAAAAATCAAGGATGCGATTCTGATGCACAACACGGATCGTTGCAGCATCGGCCCTGTCAAAGGTGTCGGAGACGTAAACCTTGAAACAGCGTCGGCCCCGAAGAACAAGCAGGCGGAATCGTCGACGTAGAAAGAACTGAAATGGATTGGATCATGGTGTTTATAGCTTTTCCATCTCTAATTCTGTGTAATGCTCATGAAGAAGTAGTAGCCCAAATTCCACACTTGCTATTGATATATATATTTTTGGTATATATCTCTCTGTTTCCGTACAATTTGAGTGAGGTAATGTTTTTGTTCATCTATTGAAATTAGAAATTACAAGATGATATTACAGTTATCTGTAAAAAAGGTATGATGTCATCTTCTAAAACGCCTTCTTTCATATCGGTCCTTCAGTTATTATGGGAAGGTAAATAACACTGAATCATGGGTATTTTTGTCATTTATTTTTTCTTGATTTGATTTAAATAATGTTGAATCATGGGTATTTTTGTCATTTTAGATTACTTTGTCCGATTTAGGGGCTGTTTACTTGCGGCTTAATTAGGCTTATTCGCAAAACTCATTTGTGTTGTTTACTTACGGCTGATTCACACAGAACATGGCTTAATCGTACAGATAGAAATGGGGTGTTCTCTCCATTCAGTCACAAAAATTACACCCCTACCTCTTATTTAAAGCATCGCCTCCTTCCCAAATGAGATACCCAATTGTTAACCTCTTTATGATTTTTTTGTTTTGATGTTCAAAAATTGATATTGGGGGTAAATCGGTCATTTGTATTATTCAGATTGTTGGTTCAGATAAAAAAAAGTAAACAACACCACCCATTTATCCAGACAGACAAATTTATCCATACATGACTTAATAAAAAATTTTAGTAAACAACCCCTTAATCTAAATATAGTTGAATCATGGGTATTTTTGTTATTCTAGACCTTAAATTCGAATGAAATATAATTGTTAAAAAAAGAAAACTATGTTTTTTTTCATCCCGGTGGTCTCTTAAAAATCGAGACTTTCGTTCATGCACTTCAAGTTTACAGTTTTCTTTTGCGAGACTAACTTTATCAGTTGTTTACCGTTAAATACGATGAACCAAAACAACAATGAATTGTAAACTATAAGGACTAAAATAATGATTTATAAAAAATGGGGACTAAAATAATAATTTATAAAAAATAGGGACTAAAATAGAAAATTTCAACAAACTCGAGGGACGAAAAAAGTAGTTTACTTCCAAGAAAAATAGAAAGGTGTGGTTTGTAAGGCACAAGGTACAAGTAATTGCTGCAAAGCTCCAGCCTCCTTGACGGCCGATCGGAGTCGCCGATTTCTCAATTTCCGGCGGTTCTTCTTCTGTTCTTCTAACTACTTCTGTAATATATATATATATATATATATATATCTCTTAATGGTTGTTTGATTTCGGTTTAATGGGCTGAACAGTTTGGAGGGTTTATGGATTCCTTCTAAAATTTCAAACCCTATCTTTGATATAAACACTCGCCGCTGTATCTTCATCCTCATCGCTTCTGTATCTGCTGCTTGATTTAAACACTCCGTCGCTGCTGTATCTGCTGAAAAGGTAATTTGATTTCGTTAGTTTAAATCTATTCCAGAGAATTTGGGAGTTTTTATTTCGTTGGATTCTATAGCAAAATCGTGGAGGATAAAAAGCTAAATTGAGGGGTTTTAGAGTTGTGTTGGTGGGGATATTGACTGTAAACCTGAGAAGGTGCTTATAGATTTCAATTTTGAACTTTCTATGCAGTTTATGGCAATTAAAGATCTTTTTAAGTGTGCGCAATCTTCTAATCGTTTTTCGAAGAGTTGGTTAAATGATATCTTATCATTGATGCATACTTTTGATGTTTGTATTTCATTTAAGCTGATGATCTCAGGGGAAAATGAGTTTTCATAATGCAGTTGCAAATTATCTGTGATGATCTTAATTTTTGTTGTTTTTATTCACATAACTAGTGAAAAGGGTAAGTTGGGTGCACATATTTGTTTTGAATTTAATGGGTTTTTTAAAGAAACCCCATATGGTGAAATCAATCAGTTTCCCTTGGTTCGATAAATATATCGATCTGCTGGTTTTGTATGATGTTCTTGCCTCCAACTTACTGTTTCCACTTTCTTTTGGTTAAATATCTATGCTTATATGTACCTATGCTCACTGACTGTTTGTGGAATTGCCTAAGTAAGCCAAATATTCTTTTGACACCCACCAAATGCTTGGTGTTTTGAGTCCCTTGCTATCTTGGTTTGCTTCTCTTCCATGGTATCAATATGCTAACTTGATTGCTTCTGATATTTTGAGGGTGTTTGTGGTACCAATACCTTTGAGATTTGCTTTTGAGTTTTCAACTAGGACCATCTTAATCTGCACATCATTTGGATCTGCAAGATTGTAACACTTAATCTGTGGTTGCTTCAAATCAGGTAAATTGTAAAAAGATTCAGGAATGACAACCTATTTGTGGAGGAAATATGCTGATTACTTGCACACTAAGTGGGAGAAAGAAGTTCTATGGACGATGGTTGATCCATTCAAGCGCCCAAAATCGTTTACTCCTCTTGTTACAATCTATGTATGCGCCTTCTATACTGGGGTCATTGGAGCCGCAATCACCGAGCAACTCTACAAGGTAGTGTTATGCCATGTTTGGCAACTATAAGCGGGCTTATTTTTTGAGCTTATTGAAGCAACCCTGTTTCGTATGCGATACGCTAGCTTTTCGAAAAGATACTTTGCTGTTTGGTTGGTTTTCCATTAAGTTCTGTATAAATGAAACTATCTGTGTGGATTAATCAGTCTGTATAGATCGAGAAGGTTTTTGTTTGGAAGGGTTTTTTCGTATACGAAATGAGCGTGTTTTTTAATCGAGAGGGACAGGTTTGGAAAAAACTTGGCTTTCTGCATAAATCCCCTTAAGAAACTTACTGAATAAGCCATTTTCTGTATCATTAAGCCAATACCAAACAGTCTTGTCGCTGTGAGCCCATTAAGCTCATTAAGCTGCTAACAAACAGGCCTTTAGATAGTTTATTGGGATTTTTTCATTTAGTTTTACATAACCATCCTTTATATTTTTATTTTATATCATTTTACATTGTCATCTAGCTTGTCAACTAGTTTTTTAGCCAAAAGCTAGCTTATCAACTAGTTTTTCAGCGAAGAGCTAGCTTATCACTTAATTTTCCAAAAATAGCTCTAGTTTCATCATGGGTTGAGCGAAATCATGATAATGGTTTAATTGCATAGTTAATCATCTATCATCCTTTTGGAACGACCATTTTTCAATCTAATTGATTCCATTAAATACATCAAAATTGACACCGTTTAATAGCATATCTCAAGTAAACCCGCCTAATACACATGTTTCGAAAATTGCCTCAAAAACATGGTACAAAGTGGGCCAAAGAGAGCTTGGTAATCCTATCTGCCCAGGATTCGGTTCCAGGCAGGCATACACAATAGTTGTGGCCACTGAGTTTATCATGGCTGATTTATTGCAGTCACAATTTGCCGGGATTAGTCTGGAGCCTGGGACACCCTTCAGAAAAAAGATAACTTGGTAAAAACGAATGACATGACTTCTAATCGTTTTCCATTTTACAGGAAAAATATTGGGAAGATCATCCTGGTGAGGCGGTGCCAATTATGAGACCTAAATTTTATGGTGGGCCTTGGAAGATTTACAAAGGAGGTGTTCTTCCACCCAACAAGTGAAAATCTACAAAATCTGAAGCTCATTTTGCAGAATAGAAGCTTTCAGATATGCTACAGATTTCTTGCATATACAACGGTTAGTAACTCTGTTCCTGATACTTGCTTTGCGTTCTTCAAATAATCAAGATACATGTCGACTTTACAACCTCTATTAAGAAGCTAATCTTCGTGGGTTTGAATCTTGCTTCAAAGAAGAATCTAAATGTGTTCTAGTATCTTGCATGATCAAGAAAGATTTGTGTATGTTTGTTAAAAACTTAAAAATGATGTACCTTGTGGCTTTATCTTATCCCTAGATCCTATGAGATTTACTGGGTTTGTTTGGTTTGATATGTTTTAACCTGGGGGCTGGGTTGATTGGAGAGCGTCAAGGGCTTCTCCGGTGAGATTTTGTACATGTGCTAATAGTTTCTTTGCCTCCGCATCTCCTCCAACCGACTCGGCAAAGCAATCTTCGCAGGTGTCCACGTTCGTCAAGACTGCAGAAATGTCAAAATTGGCCTTCACAAAATTTTGGCTTTTGATGCTATCAAGAGTGTTCTTGATATCATCAAGGGCCGCACCCATGACCTCATCGCACTCTGAGAAACACTCTTTCATCCCAGACTCATGGTTGGGGTCGTCTTTCCGCTTCTTGAGATTTTCACTGAAATTGGTGACCATCTTCTGAGTTTCTTCCATTTTATTGGTTACAAAGCTTACCACATCCGCCTCGTTGTCAAACATCTTGCTCATCTCAGCGTCTGGCAATGGGAATCCTTCATCCTCCTTTTTGGCAGGGTCTTCTGTGGGAGAGGGTGGGATTTCTTTGTTCTCCTTTCCGGCAGGGCCTGCCGTAGGAGAAGGTGTTGAACGGGCTTTTAGGGTGGAAGAAAATGCCAAACGGGTTTTCGCAGCGGAAGAAGGTGCGAAAATGATATGAACAAAAATGAAAATGAAGGCAAAGGTTTGCCTTGCAAAAGCCATTGTCTCTATTGAAAAGAGACAAGGGGGTTGGTGGTGGTGGTGGGTGGTGGTGGTGGTGGTGGTGGTGGAAGGAGGGTGAATGATGGTTTTATGCCATTATGCAATGGCAAGGCTTAAACATAGGGTAATATATTCTAAAAATAGAAAGTCATGGTTAGGGGCATAGAATCTTTGTTTCTCTTCCAAAATGATTAAAGATGCTAAGGGTATAGTACAGGGAAAAGTTCAGAAAAACTCGTTAGTAATTTTTTTTTTATTAACCTGGATATCCAACCTGCTATGTGAGTCGACTAATTCCAGAACAACCACATGCTTTGCAGATAATCCGGAATCACCGCATTTGAACCTCTGTGGCCACAAGGGGATCTTTATTTCTCCTTGGATTTGAACTTGGGAACTTCTTGTACTTTTGACCTTTGGAGCCAAGTTCAAATCAATCAAGCACCACCCTTGTGGTTCATAGCCACACGTTTCGTAACACAATTATGTAAAATCCATTTAATATCGTGAAGGTTTTCTTTATTTGCTTAACATATTAATTTTCTTTCGAGAAAAAAAAAACTCAACAGGGCCCGTTTTGGTTCGGGAGATTTGTTGGGATTTGGAATTGGATTTCGTTACACTCGTACATCTGGTTTAAACGAAACCCGGAAATGAAATTCATGGATTTCTTTGAAATCTCAAGAACATCATCAGGGTTGGTATTTCTTAGGATTTGTGTATAATAATGTTTTAGAATATGTTAGAACTTAGAAAACATTTGTTTTGTAATAATCAATTAATTTTGTTATTTTTATAATTATATATATTTTGTGTTTGTAAATTCTTTATAAAAAACGGAATTCAGTTTATTTCAAACCCTACAATCCGAACATTTCAAATCAAAATTCTTTAAATTCCAAATCTTTTTCTATGAAATACAAATTCCTAAAACCATTTCATCAAACTAAATGTCCTCACGGATTTTTGCCGAAATATTTGACGTGTTCAACGAATATGAAATCAAGCGGATTCCACGAGCGATTTGTGAATTTGTTCTATTCAATTCGTTTTATTTTCTTATTTAACGTAAGAGCAAATTGCATGAGAAAGTAACGTATTGTTAACTTGATTTTTGGATAACGTATTTTTAAAACTTTTATTTTGGTACCTAATGTAAAGTTTTAAACATTTAAGTACTCGAGTAACCGGTTGAAGCATTAACCGGTTACCATACTGATGTGACGAGTGATGTAGTATCCAACTCAGTATTATTTGCTGAAGCATTAACCAGATACCACATCATTCACTACATCAGCATGATAACCGGTTAATGTTTCAACCAATTTTCCGGATACTTAAATGTTTAAAACTTTACATCTTAGGTATCAAAAATAAAAGTTTTAAAAGTACGTCACTCAAAATATGAATCAAATTAAAATACATTATTTTTTCATGCAATTTACTCTAAAAATTAAGTCAAACTTGTTAAATTTTGATTCATTTATTGTTAATAAACATAATTATGGTATCATATGATTTTTTATACATAAAATTAAGACCGTAAACAAACCAAACGGACGCTTATTCGTAATAATTCGTTTAACTTAACCGAACAAATGAATGAACACGAATATTAAACGAACAAAAATTTTCGTGTATGTTTTCGTTCGATTAAAGAATGGATGTGTTCATCCCCGTTTATGTTCGTTCATTAAGATGCTAAACATTAAATCAGATGCAATGAAAAACTCTGAACTCGCATTTTGGTGAAACGTGAGTCAAAAGTAACCTAGCAGTCTCCTCCTGCCTCACCATCGCCACCTCCTTCTCCACCATTACCGCCGCCACAATCCTCTCATACCCACCACCTCCGGCCACCATGTACGCCACCAGCGCCGCCTGTACTGGCATCATACTTGGATTATACGCAGCAGACTCCATATAAGATCCTTTATACACTTGCCCTTCACAGTCCATCAATGCCACACCAGATGGACAACCACTGTACGGCGCGTGAGACCCACGCGCCGCCACTAGAGCCGCCTTCTTCAATTCTTCCTCGTCCCTTTTCACCAATTCCGTAGACACATTTGATAAATCTAAATTCCCTTTAAAAGTCAATTGATTATCGTGTTTTTCAAGAATTAGAGGCGTTTCTCGATCCAAAAGATCTAAAGGCCCAAAAGGGTTCGGTAAAATCGACGAAATGGGATTGTAATTAGGGTTTTCTTGGGGTTGATCGGTGATTACAATCTGGGTATCGGAGACTCCCCGGAGCTCTTGAAGGAATTGACGGCAATGGCCGCAGGGAGCTGCGGATACGGCGATGTAGAGAAGTTTTGAGCCACCGCCGTGGGCGGCGAGGTTGGTGATCAGAAACTGTTCGGCGTGGATGGAATGGTGGAGGGGGAGGCCGGGGAATTCGACGTTTCCGCCGAAGAAGATCCGGCCGTCGGAGGCTAAGCCGACGGAGCCGACTCGGAAATCGGAGATGGGTGGACGAGCGAGATGTTGAGCTGATTTAATGAGTGATGGAAGAAGTTGAGGGACGGTGAGACCTTTGGATTCCGCCATGGATTTAGCTTCTGAAGCAGAAATTATGTATGTTGAGATTTGTTCATTCATTATTTTAAAAATATGATCGATATATAGATACAGATATATATATATATAAGAGAGAGAGAGAGAGAGAGAGGAGGGGGGGGGGGGGGGGGGGGGAATGGAATGGAAGAGGAGACATATATAGGAACAGGGGTACTTGAAAACATGTAAATCGACTGAAATACCTTTTATGAGACTAATTATTAAGAATGAAATTAAGGTACCGAATGGTTAACGGATACAAAATCATTCAAAGAGTTTTAGAATTATTAGAAGGGTACTCGTACAATGTATCGAGACACATTTTGATTTCAATGTTTCGTTTTATTTTTTATATATGTTGAATAATACGATTTTATGTGTTTTGAGAAAACGATAATGAATAAAATATAAATTTGAAAATATTATATTAAATTTGCAAAAATTATATCAATATTAGTATCAAATTAACTATTTAAAATTTCTTGGTTCGTGTATTTTTTTTAATTCAAAATTTTTATTATAATTTAATTTAACGTAACGAAGTAACTTAATTTAGGTTTAATAATATTTTTTTATAAAAATAATAATTAAGTATTATGTTATAACTCAATAATTATCCTAATTATATTTTAGATTTTTATATTTTAAAATGAGATGTTTATCCTCTATTTGATTATGTTTATCCGCAGTTTGTTACACGAATTCAAATATAGAGTTTTAATAAGTTGTACTTATGCACAATGTACTTGTAATCTTAAATTTAAGTAATATGTTTCAATAAACAGTACTTTATGCATAAAAAATGTGTTTAAGAGTTTTTGTCAAATGTTTTATAATATAGTATAGATTAAGAGATTTTTTTTTGTTAAACAAGATTCATCTCTTAGCAATTCAGATGTTGTCTCTTAATGGAACTATTAAAAGGTAAACAAACAACCCTTAAAACGTTGAAAAACATGGTGAATTTTCGGATAGTGCTTTAAGGGGTTTCGTTTGTGGACCCAAATCTTTAGATGGTGGAGTTGGTTCGTATCGTTATCAATCTCTTTAGATGATCATCTTGGTTCGGAATATATTGCTATCTCGGGTTCTCGTCAACCCTTGTGGAAAACAGTGATATGGAGCGCTTTATACTCTATTTGGCTTTACTATAACAACTGGGTTTTCAGAGGGGATTCTTATCTTCAAATCGATCGTTTATATCATCTCCAACTTTTATTGTGTAATTCAGTGTCCAAGCATACAAAGAACTCTAGTCTTTCTTGGTTGGATTGGTGTAGCGGTTTTGGACTTACAGGCTAATTTCTTCCAGTTTGTTTGGAGATTGATGTTGGGTCTTGTTGATTGGATTGACTTTGATTGTGGTTCCAGCTTCGTCTTTCTGTTGATGCATTTGTGTGAGCATTTCAAGTTGTGTTTCGGTTGGTTCATTGTTTTTTTTTTAACCTGGATATCCAACACGCTATGTGAGCCGACTTTGACGACGACCTGCTTTGCAGATAACCCGAAGTCATCGCATTTAAACCTCTATGGCCACAAGAGGATTTTTGTTCCTTCTTGGATTTGAACGTGGGACCTCCAGGTACTTTTGACCTTTGGAGTCAAGCTCAAACCAATCAGGCACCACCCTTGTGGCTCGGTTGGTTCATTGTTGGTTTAGGATTTTTTTTATCGACCTGTGTAAAACTATAGCCAAAATTATTTAAGTTCAAACATTAATTGTTTGGTTTTAGGTTCAAATCATTAATGGTTTAGATTTAGGTTTAGTTTCAGATTGTTAATCGTTTTAGGTTTAAGCCCATTTTTGTTCTTAACATATATTCTCTGTTATCTCATTTATGCAATGTAACCAAAAGTTTTGGATGTAGCAGAGCCTCCAAAAAGATTGAAACGTATATGGTTTTGAGCACAACTTCTGTATGCATCTATTTATGCTTTGGACACAACTTTTGTACATTATAGAAAACTGATTTAAACTGTATATTTCTTTTTTATTTAATTAAATACTTTTGTATCCATCTATTTACTGTTGATGTGTCGATACTTCTAGAAAGAAGTTGTATATTGTTCTTTTTTTTTTTTACATATGACCGGTTTGGGCCTGGCCCGGGGTCGGTTCTCATAACCGGGCCTCATATATCTTAACCGTGCCTTCATATTTGTGCCAGGACGGGGACTAGTTACGATAAGACCGGTTACGAGATCACTATTTTAAGGCCGAGACTGATTTGAATCCGACCAGGCCCGACCCAGGATCGTTTTTTACCAGTAGATGCCTTGATGAGTTTATTGTAACCAAAGGAGAATGGGGAGCACAAAATAAAAAGGCTTTCTAAGTGAATGTGGGTTGTGGCCTACATAAACCCCATTATTATCATGTTTTTATTATTTATGTAATTATTTAAACATTTTAATTTATTATTTTTTTAAAAATAATATATAATATGAACTTTTAAATTTTATTTATTTATTATTTTGTCCCGTAGATTTATAATATTGGTATAGATGTAACAGAGCCTGTAAAATATTGGTTTGAGCTTAGCTTCAAAGATCAAAAGTGTCTGGAGGTCTCAGGTTTGAATCCAATGAGTAATAAAAATCCTCTTGTAGCCACAGAGGTTCAAATGCGATGACTCTGGTCTACCCGTGAAGCAGGTGGTCGCCCTAAGATTAGTCGGCTCGTATAGCGTGCTAGGTATCCAGGTTAACAAAAAGAAATTAATAATGACATCAGACATTCAATAATAACTGTAAATATAAAATTAATTATTTTATTTTTTATATTACGACTGGGGGTTATGGAATTCGAGGTCAAACCTGGAATTTATGTTGTATTTGAACAAAATCACTCCACTTATTTATCAACTGAGCTGCATAAAAGTGCCAAATTTCATGTAAATTGAATTATTTAAGTAGATTATAATTGAATGGTATATTTGTATGAGTAGTTGGTGAAAGCTTGCAAGCATTATTCTTATGAGTTATTCACTTGTGAATATATATATATATATATA